AGATGCAGAAAACACTCCCTGACGTTTGCCTTTTTCGTTGTTTGATTGGCACTTCGAATGAAAACATCGGCCGCGGTCGGACCTAAGGTGAAACGAAGTATATAACCACATCCGGACCATAGTGAATAAGCATGTGCTCTAGATCCCCAACTTTATTGGCAAGATTACGTGCGTTCCCATCAATCAGCTTGAATTCTCTGCTATTCGACTGTCATTCGTACGTGCTTCGGTTTGCCCCATCTGAGGCGAGCTTTATCCTACAATCCTTTCGTCATCCCAAGAATACGATTCTTTATAGATCCTATCGTGGACTAGTCTAACATAGACCCCCTTAGCTCTGTCGCCTCTTGCGCTCTCCCAGAATTGTTTTCGTTTTCTTAAGATGACCGGGGAATAATCGTTAGACAGATATTTTGGTTCCTTTTAGTTTCCGGCAATTTCTAAACACTTCAAGCTTATCGTTATAGTCATAAAACTTTATGATAATTGGTCTTGCTTTGTTCGCGCTTTTTTTTCCCAAGTCTATGAATTCGTTCAATCGTGCTTACTTTAACACCCATGCGGTTTTCAAAAAGGTCAGTTAGCACGCTTTCTCTTACAACAGCATTAGTTTCAGTAGAGTTCTCGCGAACCCCAAACACTATCAAGTTGTTCTGGCGGCTTCTGTCTGCCAAATCGACTAGCTCTTCCTGTTGTGTCTGGATAATGACGCTCATCTTCCTAACACTTTTTTCCAGGTTCGATATTTTTTTCTCGTGCAGCTGTACTTTTTGTAATGACTCGTCTAAGTGGCTAACCTTAGTTTTTATTGTTTCCAACTCTTTGCAAAACGGTCTTGACTTTTCTTAATTTCGTTTATATCTTCACTTATTTTTTTCTGACCCAAAATAAGCTAGTTAAATATTTCCTCAAAATCAGGACCGGGATTTTCTTCGATATCTCCAGCCAGCAGCAAGAAGAGTGATTTACAACATTCCGAATATGTTTCAAAAAACACTTCAGGGCACGGAAGAACCACGACAAATTGGTAGTCACTTTTAAAACTTTTACAAAGGGAGTATCTACTCACCTGTTGGAAAAGTAGGTATAGTTGAGGTGACATGCCTCTTTCGGCTCCGCCGTGCCCTCTGAAGTAGTCGCGGGGGGTGGGTCCTTTTAAAAGCTCGGCGCAGTGGATGACAATCGCGGGTTGCCTGCCCGTGCGATAGCGTTCCGTCCACTCTTGGTAGCCATCCGTAATCTTCGTCGAGTGTTGTGATTGCAGGTGTTGTCGTGGCTTGCGCTGGGTATGTTGCGTACCACAGCAGCGCCTGTTGGAGAAGTAGGTACAGTTTAGGTGACATCCCTCTTTCGGCTCCGCCGTGCCCCCTCCCATGGATTTCCTGTGTGAATATGGTGCCGCGATCGACCTTGGAGCGAACAAGTTGACGCTGCGATAGCCCGCCCTACCTCCGGCGGGATCCAAAACGACGCCAGCCGCCGTCCGAGTCATTGCGGACCACGTGAATCTGCTGCCACGGTCGAGTCTTCTTGTGCCCGTCGTGACTGACGCAGCCACCTGCGGGGAAGTTCTTCTGGAAGGCAGCGTTCAACTGCTCCTGGGAAGGGGATGTGGCGTCGCACAAGGCATTGCAGATTTCCAAGGACGTGCAACTGTTCTCGTGACAAACTTTCGATAGTAGTCGCCGCACCTAACGAGGGGTACGGCCATGGGCTACGTCTCAACAACTTCAAGCGTCAGCCGCCATTCCCGCAATCTCCGAGGAACCTTCGCCGTCACAGTCCAACATCACGCCGCCTTCGCAGCTTAACGTCGACCCCGAATATAACGACAAACATGGGACAATGTCTGCATTAGGAATGATGATCGAAAATAATGTAATAAGGCAGGTAAGCTGGTTAAAGTTAAACATTTCTAAAGCACAAGACCGAGGCTACAAGGAGGGGACAAATCCAAGACGTCTCAATCACGGCAACTAAATTTTATTCAGGACACTTCTTTTATATCCGTCATCTCCGCACCGTCCTCCTCTTGCACACGGCCCAATGGTTCGCTACAGTTTACATGCGACTACAAAAAATGGTCAAAGGGCTCACAGGAAGCAAATGACCACGCCCTCTACCCAATGGCCAAGGTCACTTCCATCCACCAACGAAACATCCCGAACACCTGCAAACGCAAAAAAAAAAAAATTTATGTTTAGAACGATACTTTACTTATCTTCCAAGAGGACTTACAATCTTGGTGTTGGAAATGCACGTTGCGGAAGGCTTGCGGAAGCTCATCGTGAGCTCGCGCTCTGTGATAGCGGGCTCAACCATGGCCGCCAGTGAATACCACCCATTCTGCGGTGCTTGGGAGAGCACGTCCGCTACCTCGTACTTCGAGTCCTTTCGGTACTCGACACGAGGAGACAGCCGTTGAGCTCTGCTGTGAGACACGTCACCAAAATTCTAACAGACTTAGTCTCGACAGGTATTGTTAGCGTTAGTGCAAAACCGCTCGACGAATCCGTGGGACTTCCAGGGGACGACCAGGAGCTGAGGAATACTGAGCGGGCCCCCCGTTGGGTGCCATTTTTGCTCTATAATAACCGCCGCCCGACCGGTCTGTGCTTCGCTCGTCTCCCAAGCTGTCACACAGCACAATGAAAAGACAGGGAATGGGTTTACTCTACTTCCCGCTTGCCCGTCCTCGAGAGCAGGCAGTCTGACCCATCGACCCTGGAGACCTATGTTGTGCTTTTTGGACTCCCACGGCGACTATGGAGAAGGAAGTGACGTCAACAACGCAGCAAACGCAGATTGGATGTTGATTAGTGAGAGTCGCTGATGACGAATTTCTGCAGAAGAAACATTCAATCTGTGTTGTTTTTTTTTTGCGTTGTTGACGTCACTTCCTTCTCCCTAGTCGCCGTGGGAGTCCAAAAAGCACAACATAGGTCTCCTGGCAGGTTGTCGCCCGCCGTTGTAAGCTCGCAGTCACAGTCCGTGTCCAGGCTTGCGGATCGTCCTTCCCACTCCAGCGCTGCGTAGCCTAGCTGTTCCGGGCTATCATAGCCCGAGTCTTGCTGCGGAACCACTCCGGCATCGTCATGGCCTAAGCCGGCATGGCCAGGGCTCGCCATTCGCGCCGGTCTTGGTTCGAATCTCGCTGGAGGACCGCTCCGGGGACCGCCATGGGCCAGACCGGCTACATCATTCTTGCAGGGCACAGCCTCGCGCAGCACGCTCTGTCCGGCGCCAGCTCGTGCCTCCTCGACCAACCGCTTGTCACGTGCCCTCCGACATGTCGTCTTCCACCGTCGTTTTCCACAAGCTGAACGACGCTTCGCCCAAGCTGCTTCAGCAGACCCTTGCTGCGAAAGCATCGCTGGAGATGCTGCTGCGAGACTCCTTCCAGAAGAGTGGCGACTAAGACAAAGAGTGGGAAGCTGTACTTTTGATGAAGGAAGAAACGGCAGGAAATATAGCTTCTATGTAGAACAGCATTGATGGTTAAGAAGACGCCTCCCGACGTAGCGCCATTGCTGCTTCCGAAGCAAACAAGGTGCCGAAGCAGACTAAGGCGCTAGTAGAGGAGATGAGGGCGCACCTGCTAGAGAAAGAAGAAGGCACGCCCTGGAGAAAATGAGGCAGGACTTTGAGTAGTACTACACCTGCCGAACGAAGCATTCCTTGTTGAGCAGGAGCGTGCGGCAAAAGCAATAGCGAGCGATGCGCCGCTGGCACTGTACAATAATCTGCTGCCCTCTCTCAAGAAGGAGGTGCTTCAGCTCAAGGCTGAGACTCAGAAACGTGTGGACACGCTACAGAAGGCCATCGAGGTGCCAAAGACGACCTGGAGCAGTGCAGGGCAAGGCAAGGCTACTAAACGACTACGGCAAGCTCAAGTCGCAGATCGGCGACGCCGTAAAGGATCTCATCATTCAAATATAGTTTCACGCGGATATTTCTTGAGAATCAAAATAAATGATTCAAATTGACACCAAAGTATCGGTCAATAGCTGCTTTGGCCAAAACGCTCTCGTCAGGCCTTCGTCTTCGAAGTGACCACTACCGACCGCGCGCTGGCACCAGTTACTCCCGACGCGAAATCATCCTGATGCCGCCAAACTATAGTCTATATGCGACACTCGAGAGACTTGAAATGCATCTACTACTGCTAATTGAACTTGAAAAACACGAACGCTTATGAAAACGATAGGAAGCGAACGGCCGTTAAAAATGAAGACAGAAACGCATTTCGCGCAGAAAACGTTTTTAGTACTATCGAATAAAGAAACATTCGCAGAAAGGATTTTGTTTCTATACCTTAAAACTAAGAAAAATTTAATGGTCTAATGAGCGCGAATAAATAAATGTAGCATACGCTGTGGCGCTTAAAAACAAGAAAAGATGCAAACGACATCCTGCGCTTCCGCTCCGAAAACCTATCACAGCGCCTGTCCTAACGCGGCGGCTGCACTGGTTCTGCACCGCCGCTACATGACTCCAGCACTCCCCTAAACTCGGACAGAACTAGTTCGGGACTTTCTGGCCAACTAGAACAGATCTACTGATTTCCAGCCCCGCCATGCGCATTTAATTTGCTTTTAATTGCATTATAATGCGCAGGCCTTTTGTTGTAGTTGTAAGTGGTGCATCGGCTGCATTATAAAAGGTTCCCGATAGCCTCTGAACACCCAGTTTGTGCTGTCCGGCACTCGATACGATATGTTCATTATGCTCCTTATGTTTCTAGTCTGGGAATCTGTGTGACTGAGTTCGGTAGGAACCCGTGGCGTCTTCCGGACGTCGTCTTCGGGGTTCGCGCTGAATCAGATAGGCGCCGCTTTGTTGATTTTGGGTACGCGCGTTAAAAATTGTTGTCTCTTACCTTGTCTATTCCGCAAAACAAAAGCCACTCTAAAAGACCGACCAACAAAGAGGCAGAAATATAATTTTTTTTTTTTCGCAGTTGGTCTAAGAATTGCCTTTTTTTTTTCTTTCAATCTCAGACTCGGGAAAGTCGGGACGCTTCAGTTGCCTGTCTCATCAACACACTTAAAGACCTTCCGGTAAGTGTTTCCTACCAATTTTTTTTTTTGCAAAAATATTTGTACGTATATTTTTACTGTATCAATATAACATTTTTTTGTGATCTGAAAGGTTACTATTTTGGCACATTGTATAGTTTGGCCTCCTTGTTTCCATATTATAAAAACTAAGCCGAAAATTCTAGTTAAAAGCATTTTAATTTTGTGTAAGGCTCGTGAAAATATTAAGCACTGAAGAAAAACAGTCATTTCCTTTAGGTTCTTATTTTGAACTCCACCAATTGTAAAGCACGGCGAAAGAGCCGAAGCACGTACCTGATCTCGCCATACTGCCATATGTTACCGCACGATGAGGTACGTCTGCTATGCTTATGATCATTATGGCAACGAAGTGTCTGCTAAATGGACGCTGCGTCTGAAGACAGCAATAGGTGATGACATGTTCCGAACACTTTCTGCTTAAGTCCACGCGCGCCAACGATAGCCAAATTTGGACACGCCGATGCGGCGGTTGGAGCTGAGAGCGGGAAGTGGTCGCTCGGAAAACTCTTGGCAGTTCCGACGAGGCTTAGCGCAAGTTTGAGCTTGACACTAGAATATATGTTACCCAAACGAAGCGAGGGGTGGGCGCGTGTTGTGCTGTCTCCTTGAAAGCCTATAGATTGAAACTTACATTACAGACCAGCGACCGCTGAACCCATTCGGTTCCCGACTCGCCATTGTCGCCGTCGACCAGTTACTCAGTCGTCGTTTATATCCGATTCACACGACGGACCGAATCGCGATTTTCTTCCGTGGACCGTGAACGTGCACATGACTGTCACGTCACCGATTCCTGCGATCTGCGCCTCGTCCGCGGACGCGCGGACTGATAAAGCTGAGCGCCTTTTCGCTCGCAGATTTTTTGCGGAGATTGACTTGAAAAGCGTTTAGTCTGGCAAGGGTGCAATGTTTTCTTGATTTTTTTTTCTTTCGAACGAATAAAACAAAACTGGCACATCATTGTGTTTTGTGCGTCCGCTGGTTCATTTTGTCGCGTGATTCTTGGTCTCACGCCGAAAAGAAACTGCAGAAACTTTAGGGAGTTTTAGAATAACGTACGCAATTTTATCTCACTCTAGCGCTAAATTTAGCGCACGCTACGCACAAGTTTTAGAATAGCGTTCCTCCGCCGCAACGCAAAAGCCCAAGCATCTCTCGCTTGCAACTTCACCAAGCTACAGTCACAAATTTTATTTCACCCACGAAATGCTGCAACTTGAAAACAAACAAGTTTTTTTGTTGGTCTAGAGTAACATTTTTAACTTGTTTAAACACTTGAGAATGCGGCGCGAGCGGTCGACCGGTCGTGTCCGCTTCCGTCGCCTCGACAAACGAGGTCTCGTGTACTGACCTTCGCACACCGTACCTTCGCCGATAAATGTTCGCGCGTCGCAAGCATCAAGTTGCCGGGGATCGTTGCCCACCTTACTGGGTTTTCCCAACCGCGTGCATTGCCATCCCGTATAGAAAATCGCACTCGCGAGGATGCCCCCGACGTCGCACTCACGACCCCGCCAAAGCGGCCTCAGCCATAATCCTTGGAGCCGCCATTTTTTAACTATGCTCGTCTTGGCTTTAGCCATCTTCTCGTCACGAATCCTCCTTGGAGTAGCGTAAAGACCTGTTGCGTACGCACGCAATTCTCGAAAAATAGCGTATGCAAAGCATAAAACATGGCTAGCGTTCGGCGCATGCGCAGTGGCGACGACGCTATTCTTTGCGTACGCAAAACTTTAGTGTGCGTTCTTCTAAAACTCCGTTTTGTCATGCTGACGCGATACAGGATCCGGTACTCCTCCGGGTCCGTGCCAAGAAGCTTTCGTCGGAACTCGCCTAGCAAGCCGCGATAATTCCTGCACGTCCAATCAGCCTTTCACCGTGCAAGACCTCTCTTGTAAATGTGGTGTATTCGTAAGTGTTGTGCACGAGCGTGAAGTGCGTGAAGGTATGTCCAAACGCCCCTCCGCCAGCCCAAAACTTCGTCGCTTCAACACCGAAGTCTTCTCGAGCAGGATGCATGCCTCTGTCACTGGCATGCCATGGGTTAGCAACGCCAGGGGCGCTTCGCGCTTTGCCTATCACGGTGTTTTGTCTCTATCTGTACGTAACAACGGCGTACGATTCTTCGTCGCGGTAGCAAACGTTGATTTCCCTCTTGGACAAAGGTGTCACGGTGCGATGTTGGAGTTTCGCGGTACTGTGGGGTGGCGAACAGGTTCGGTCCGTCCTCGCTGGCGTCTGCTCGTCGCCTCCCTCGTGTGGATGCGCTTGGGAGACGGACGAACCGCGGATATGGCGTCACGTGATCAATCCGTCCGCCGATCAGTCCATCGAGTGAATCGGCCATTGGCAGACGCGGTATTCTGAAAATGACTTCATCTGCTGCTGTCTTCAGACTGCGTTTGTGTGCGTACGCTTCCGGCAGACTCTACGTATTGCCATGCTGATGGTGATCGTAGCAGAGGGACTTCATTGTGCGGAAAGAGACTGCGGGGGGGGGGGACACCAGTTGCGTGCTTCGTCTTCCCTGCTTTCCGATGGGCGGGATGTCAACAAAAAGGGTTCGGAACGAGAACTTAATGCAGATGGCTGATGTTTTCCAGGGCTCAGGTTTTTAGAGCGCAGCTCTTAGGCGCCCGTTTCCGGCTTGAGCGGCGTCGGCGTCGCCGTCGATGTAACCGCGCGGTGCAATATGAGACGCGGGACGTCACTGATGACGTCATCGGCATCGGCATCGTTATTGATGACGTCATCAGTGACGTCATCGGAATCCGCATCGTCATCGTCATTGCCACTGATGGTGTCATCAGTGACGTCACTGATGACGTCATCGGCATTCGCATCGTCATCGTCATCGTCACTGATTACTTTACTGATGACGTCACTAGTGATGATGACGTCAACAGTGACGTCACTGGTGACGTCATCGTCACGTGACCTCATAGGGGTCACGTGACCCCGGTGACGTCAGATGACCCCCGTGAGGTCGCGTGACCCTCGTGAGGCGACGGCGACGCCGCTCGGACGGAGGAATAGCAGACAGGACGGGAACGTGAGGAGGAGGGAGGAAGGATATACCTTCTCTTCAGTACCCTTCCCCTCCTCCTCCTCAAGAGCTGCTTTCTAATTCTGCGTTACAGGGAGTTGTAAACAGCTTTCATTTTTTCGTCATCCAGCTACCGGTTCTATTACCTCAAATATGGTTTTAATGTATCAAACTGCTATTGTTATGCCAACATTTTGTACAATTATGTCGTATTCGTTTTTTTTTTTTTTATTAGTGCCCCCCTGTGCGCATTTATATCCAAACCCTCCTAATGCCGCCTGAACTCAGGACACCTGCGAACAACGTGCAGAAAAGCGCTTGTGTGACCGGCTTCGCTGACGAAAATGGGGTTGTCACACTTTCGTAGCTCATGTTACATGCGTATGTCACCATAATGAATTTTGAACTTTGTATTCATAGCCTATATATTTACTACTATAATGATTGTTGTTGTTCAATGCCTTGCGCTTTTTTTTTTTGTCTCAGCCTCAAAGTTCACTTGTTTTACTTTCTGTTAATCGCTCACGCCTCATTTTCTTTTTCTTCGCACAAATGCTTTTCTTTCTCTAGGTGGACGAGTACATGACGGGAGAATACGACAAGAACCAAGTATTGGAACACTTGGTGGTACGTGCAATTATCTCGCGCAAACGCTTGGTTATTCACCTCATCTCGACAATGAGGTGTCCTTACACTCAAACAAGATTAGAGTAATTCTTCGCGTTGCGTCGGGGATTTCCCATCACGCATATAGCGGTCAAGTCCATTTTAGTGGCCCCGTATACTGCCTCGAGGAGGAAAGACAAAAAACGAACGCTATAGCTAGATAGAAACACTCGTTCCCAAGCCGTGCAAGCAAGTCGGCGTCAAACCTACAAGAAAGCAGAAAAAAGTGTCTGCCTGGCTTATTCCGTGGCGTGTCTGGCTCGCAACAACCGAAGGGTCGTAAATTCAAATCCGTCGTCCGCCTAAAATTTTTCGCATTTTTATTCATCGCCAATTAATAGCTTTATGAAGCGAAATCACTTGAAACATGTGGAGACTTCTAATTCGCATTACGTCATGTTTTAAACACTTTCTTTCCAAGTGTGATGTCACCTTTCACGTGAGCGTTGTGGGTTTTTGGAAATACCAGCACGAGGTCATGTGGATGTGACGTCATAATCCTATCGACCGATAAAACTTGGGTTGGGTGCAGTTGGCTCGTATCATTTAAAAGCCTGTCCTTGTCGTCCGTTTTTCAGTTCGCGTTGTTAGCCTTTTAAACCTATCGACCAATCAGGATTTTCCCGTCCGCCACCGACGCCGACGCCGGCTTTTCTGCGCCACGAGCTCTTTAAAGCCTGGGTCACACTGCCCATACATCATACAAAAGACAGTTTGCAAACGCGGGTCACCGCGGTATCCCTGCTTCGAATGCCGCGTGCCAAGTTTTCCCCTCGAACTTATTGGCATCCGGCATTCGAAGCACGAATATCGCGGTGACTCTTCTTCAAATCTGTTTGCAAACTGTATGTTGAATGATGTATAATGCCCGAGTCCCACCAGCGGGACAAACAGAAACAAACGACAGCGACAAGCCTCAAACAAGAGTATTTCACGATTTGACAGGCTTCGTAGAATAAAGGAGTTCATGCTCAAACACGAGCATCATGCATGGGATGGTATCTTTGGCACGCTTGCAATCATTCATGCTTACTTCACGAGCACCGAACGACTAAACGCCTGCCAAATGTACCATCGCGAGCATGCTGCATGTGTTGGAGGCTTGTTCATGTCCGCTGTTTCTGTTTGTCGCTCTAGTGAGACTTATTGGCATAAGCAGTGAGACTTATTGGCATAAGCAGTGTGCATAAGCAGTGTGACCCCGGTTTTAAGCTATTGCGTTAATAAGAAGATCGGAGCCTCCAATGGGTTGTCCACAGAGAGTTAATCCGGCCAACCTGCTGTGCCTCGTCGTTTCAATCATGCAGATGCGATTCTCAATATTTTAGAAAACGCGTGACGCTTTCTTTCTTTATTTATTTCATCGGACAAAAAATATGGTATAGCGTTGTTTTTTGTTTTTTTTTTTTGTTTTCTTGTCAGAATGTCGAGCACTGCGAGCCTCGATAGTTATGTGATTGAAGCTTCGTATCGGTGCTGGAAGTCAAGCGTTGCAACCCACGCAGCAACCTTTAGCTCCTCAGTTCTTCGGCAAACGTACTAACATACTAAAGGACTAGCAAATCATTTTGTGTACTTTGGGCTCTCCATCTGTACTGCCGCGCCGTCGCGTCCTAGTCTTTCCCGTTTTCGGGACTTGAACAGCAGTGGAGGCTTTGGGCGATAGATCGACGGCCAACAGAGCGTGCAAGTGGCTGTCCGGACCCACTTGATGAGCATGCTGAAGGCCCCGTGAATAACAATAGCGAGCCTTTACGAAGCAAACCATTCTCTCCGGCAAAAAAAAGAAAAACAACAACAACATTGGACGCAAGCGGACTGCTCCACGACATTCACGAACAAAATTTGATCAGGCGACGAATAACTGAAGGAAACGACACGTTTAATGGGGTGAACTTGTGCCCTAAATAAAATAGAAAAGGCCAGCGTCGGAGGCGTTGATGGCGGCGTAACAGCAGGATCGAGATTGGGGCGAGACTGACTCTGACTCGCAACGCTGAGCCCCCTTGGTACACTCGCGGACCTCTGTAACAACCGGCGTAGAATGTTCGGCGCGTAGAACATTTGGACCTAGAGCAAGGTAGGGTGCCTTCATGTGCGGTTTGCTTAGGGTGGAGACATCTGGCCATTTTGTTCCCACTTTTACATTTATTTTTCGTTCAGAAGCGCGTGAAAGAGCGTGTCCCTGCACGCGTCTGTGGCGCTAAATGTGCTATGGCGACATTTTGTTTTTGTCGATTTCTTTGTATTTTCCCCGTGAGCGCGTGCTGTCGGCATCGGTACTACCACGGTGGGTACTACAAAGGGTGGCATCACTCTAAACAGAAGGTCATTGAGGCACCCTAGAACAAGGAACAGGGTTCTCGAGTTTATCGGAACGCGGCATTTACAAAAATAACTAAAAGGTGCGTCCGCTACGAGGCATTGAAACCGGCCCGTCGCCGACTTGGTTAGCTGCACAGGCGTCAATATGACGGAGGTATGTCGCTTCGCGATTTCTGAAGTGTCCGGTTTGGACAGCCCTTCAGCAGAGAGGTAAGGATTTCTTTCCTTTGTGGGTTTTCATTGCCTGTCTATTTGATGTTGCGCCTCTCTTCCGGGGACAGTTCCTGTCTTGGCTCTGCGTGACTCTGTCCTTCCCCTACCCTAATCACCGCCTTCCCCATCAACGCTAGATCTATCAAATGGCCCTAATTTTATCCTCCCCTAATAAAACGTTTACTCGCTAAGCAGTAACAAGCAGTCGCAACGCAAATATGTGAAGCATCCTATGGTTACACTACTAATACGTCATTCAATGTACAGTCTCCATACAATAGGGTGTTTTAACAAACCGTTACCGTGTTCCGCGTACTGCACTACTGAAGCCTCTGAAGTGTGCTTTTAAACGTGTGCCCGAGTGATACAGTGACCGCGGGGCACGCGCCTAAAAGCATGCTTCAAAGGCTCCTGTACTGCAATACGCGAGACACAGTAAAGGCCGGCTCACACATACAGCGAAGCGCTAAGTTAGCGCTACGTGAGCGCTCGAAGGAGCGCTCATGTGGCGCTTCCTAGCGCGTGATGTAGCGCTCGGTTAGCGCTCTGTCAGCGCTCTGTTAGCGCTTCAGAAGCGCTTTGTTAGCGCTCTGTTAACGCTACAGAAGTGCTCTGTTAGCGATCTGTTAGCACTTTGTTAGCGCTCTCACGCTCCTTGTGCCGTGCTTGCTGCTGCGGAACAGCGCGTGCACGGCGATTCCTTTGTTGTTGTTTTTCCTTTAGCATTGAAAGAAAAGGAAGTAAAACAGCCGCTCTCCAAGCAAAGGGTCGGGCAGGCGACCGAGAGTCATGGACTTTGAGCGACTAATTGATTGGGTACGACCTCATCGCTTTCTATTCGATATGCGTTACCCTGGTTTCAAAAACACGCAGTTATAAATAACCGCCTTCGAAAGAACTCTGTGTCTCTGTCCCTCAGCCTAGGAACAAGGTTCACTAGGTACCTGTCGGTATCTCGGTGGCGAAAGATGTCGCGCACCCAGAAAGGCTCTTCTGGGCGTTAAGCCGTCCACACACGTAAGCACTAATCGCGTATGTAAGAGCATTGGTCGCATTTCTATTTCAGCATCCCACATGTCCGCCATGGTGTTGCTGATGCACACCCAACCACAGGAACCGACATCGCAGTGCACGCGCTAATTCGCAGCACCGCGGTACAAGAAGCGCTACTGGCGTGGTGCACGTTAAAGACCCCAGGCTAGCGGTTGTACTGCACTGGCTAAATTGCTCATCTACAGCTGGGAGACTCGTCGCCCCTGAGGCAGACCAAGTTCTAGGCTGTATAAACACACACACAACCCAATTTTTTTTGAAGCGCTACTGAAGCGCTAACACGGCACTACTGGAGCGCCAACAAGGGGCTACTGGAGCGCTAACAAAGCGCTACTGGAGCGCTAATAGGGCGCTAAAGGGTGCCTCAATGTCGTTCTGTTTAGGGTGATGCCACCCTTTGTAGTACCCGATGCCGACAGCACGCGCTCACGGGTAAAATACAAAGAAATCGGCGAAAACAAAATGTCGCCATAGCACAGTTAGCGCTACAAACGCGTGCAGGGTCACGCTTTTTCACGCGCTTCTGAACAAAAAAGAAAAATAGAAGTGTGGGACAAAATGGCCAGATGTCTCCACCCTTAGCAAAGCGCACATGAAGGCACCCTAGGGCGCTACAGAAGCGCTAATCGCGCGCTGTGTTAGAACTAAGTCACGCGCCAGGAAGCGCCACAGGAGCGCTCCTTGGAGCGCTCACGTAGCGCTAACTTAGCGCTCCGCTGTATGTGTGAACAGGCCTTAACAGTTCGCTAAAAGTTCCTAACGTCTCAGGCATGCTTCATTTTTGTATGTAGGTTCTGTTACATTGGTTATACACAAACTCTCTGCAGACATGTCCCAAGCATACGTAAAAAAAAACAAAAAAAACAAAACAAACAAGCTTGATATTCCTCTCATCGTGTATGCAGGGAACGCTGTGTCTTGTGAATGACGTGTGGAGAGTGTGAATACGGCTTCGAGAACCGTTTTGTGGCCCGTTTAACTAGTCTCCTGACGTGTGCATCTGACCGCAGCACTGCCAGTTCGATCCATTGGACCTGCCCCTGGAGCATCCGAAGAAGGCCAACGCCGTGCTGCACTGGTTCTTCGAGATCGTACGGCCCTGAGTGGGTGACGTTGACGTCTTCAAGCACTCCCGGTGTCCGCAGCCGAGTGTGTTGCCGCTGAACGCACGTTGGCGGCGAGCTTGAGCATCGTGTGATAAAACCTGCCTTCAGAGGCACGCCTGCCTCCGTTTTTTGTCATGAACGCGTTTTTTTTGTTTTGTTTTTGTTGGAAGAAAGTTACGCGTTTCAGCCGGTCTCCTGCCGCTTTAAAACAATTCTCTCAGCGTACAGAATGGGCGCTTTTTTATAGATCGCTGGGCGCATGCGCTAACTCTGAGAGAGAGAAGGAAAGGGAAAGCGCCAGTTTTGGGGTCGCTCTCGCCCGCTCAGTGGCTCAGACAGCGCTGGTTCGGCTTGACTCTCTCCGCTATTCTCGCGGCTTGGCTTCGAAGTCGTCATGCATCACCACGGCGCAGCAGTTTAATCGCACAAATAGTGACAAACTTTTTCCAAGTGCATGATTTTATACAGTTCCAGCAGCCCTTTGCGGGTGGAGCACGGAAGCACCCGATCTCCAACATCCCGCCCTTTTTGCTCCGCTTTCAAAAGCCTATGACGCGTGACTACCGTGTCTGGTGGCCGGGCCCTCAGCGTGATGACGGGACATTCTGATTTTAACTAAAAGACAGTAAGTGTGCAGGAGAGGTTGTGTAACATAATCATGTCGTACACGGAACTCAAGTAAAGAAAAACTGGATAAAACGTTTGGTTCTTCAGGCGGCCGGCGCTAAACAAATTCGCGTCTTGCCACGTCAAAAGTGAAAAAAAGAAAAAAAAATCAGTCACTGGCAAAACATTTAAGCGTGCGAAAAAAATAAAAAGTCCTACGACGACAGAACTCTGACGGAACGACTTGGCACCCAATCTTGAACTCTCCCGTTTGCGGGGCCCACTTCGTCGGAGGTTCGTAAACGGGCTGAATTCAAAGAGGAATTGTTTCTAACATAACGTTCCTTACTATTTCACGGTGCAGGCGAGCCTTCGCGATATAAAAACCGCCCGGATTTCACCCCGTCTGAGTTTTGCTTACACGTTTCAGGGTACGGCGATGCCCCGTGCGCTCGCGCATTACACAAGACAGCGATGTGACGGACCGCAATATGCTTGAATAACTTAAGCGCACAAGTAGTGCGAAATCACCTGTTTGTACTGGCCGGGCCTCAAACAAAGCTAAAGAGCTCCGCACGAGGTGGATAGTTGGGACAAGATCGAAATTGGTCACCATCATTTTCCTTCTATAACACTGCCTTGAAGGCCGACCAATTTTTCAGTTGCATGCAGGACGGGACACCGGAGGGACGATTAAGTGATTCCGAGTCGACGGTCGGAATCGATTCGGCGTCGTCAGTCTATCCATCTTTGAAGATTTAAAGACGAACGAGTTAGTCTGTATCGTAGACAGTAGCTTTTGTTATTCCTCCAGTGTCGACCTCAGCCATTTCGTAGAAAAAGATTCACTCGAAGGGACGACAGAAAAACTTAGAATGGTGAAAGGCGGAACAACGCCAAGAGAAAACAAACGTAAACACACGGAACGGGAGACACGCCAAGCGCTGGCGAGGACGGAGCGACGGTCCCGGAACCACCAAAAGTGTTTTGAGCGATTCCCACAGGCGAGCGCCACGGTCGTGGCCAAACGCTGAAAAAGTCCCCTTCCGGATGAATTGCTTCTTGGAACGGCTTGTGTTGGAACTAATCAGAGCGTGCGAGGACACTGGAAAAATTGAGCAAGCACGCGACCGAAGCATTGGAGCTGCGACGACCACGGCCGCTTGATCACGAGCTGTGCACTACGAGGAGAAGAAGGAAGATGAGATGGCTCCCGAACCACGTAAACAATTTTGTACCCGACGTCGGACAATTAAGTTAGTTTGAGCATAGTTGTAAACCCGAGGCTGGTAGCTGCGTTTGAGACTTTTTCCGTGTCGTTCCGGTGTTTGTCCCTTGGCCGTATCCCCAGTCTCGGGTTTACAACTACAGGGTGTCACAAAAGAAAATTTACACGGTCTTTTTTACCGCAAAAATAAACTAGGAATCGCCGAACGCTCATTCTCCGCCCAAAGGTAGAGCTAGAGGTCATAACCAGATGCCAAAGTTTCAGCCCGATCCGATAACTTAATCAAAAGTTATAAGTGATTTTCTGAAAATTTCAATGGGAAAATGGCGGCCGACGGGGTTTTCAAACACGTGGGGATCTATGGCACCAGAAACCGAAAACGGGCAAGAATGCCCGTTTCCCATTGAAATTCCCATTAAAATTGTCAGAAAATCACTTACAACTTTTGATTAAGTTATCGGATCGAGCTGAAATTTTGGCATCTGGTTGTGACCTCTAGCTCTACCTTTGGGCGGAAAATGAGCGTTCTGCAATGCCTAGTTTATTTTTGCGGAAAAAAAGACCGTATAAATTTTCTTTTGTGACACCCTGTATATATGCTTAATTTACACCAGCAAGCCTACATCCTCACCATTGCTTCATTAAGTTAGTTTGTTTTTATTAGATCAAAACATCGACCTCAGACCAAAAAAGATCGGTCATCCTTTGGTGCCGAAACCCGGGAATTCCCTTTACCGGACTGGACAGTAAGTCTGATGGTTGATTTAACCGAGCTTGAAGTCTCGACATCGGAGAAGCAAGACAGCGAGGCCTAACGACGCGGCGATGAAGCGAACAAACAGAAGCGGAAGATCAAACAGAAGCGGAAGATCCAACACTCGCAAGTCACCAAAGTAGCTTTGGACACTGACGCGGCTGTGGAACGCGAAGTGCTTGTTGAAGAGGAGCTCCAGATTCTTCTCGCTCGTCTCAATATCATACATCGCCAACTGAACGAAACGGACGCTGCCATCGAGCCATTGCTGACAGATCTGTCAGCAATGGCTCGATGGCAGCGTCCGTGAGTTGCTGATGATATCTGTGACTGAAAACCCGTAAAAAAAAGAAAAAAAAAGAAGAAGGAAGCAATAATTTTGAAACAAAATGAGAAAATTGCCGAGGTACACGATCGGAAATCGTAGATGATAAAAAAGATGAAGTTTGAGACCAAAAAGGAACCTGAGGTTGCAGGCTGAATACTTGTCGTCAAGTCATACGATTAAGGTAGTAAAGTTCCTTTGAAGAAAAGGCGATCGATGGGGCACTGATGCACACCGCCCCACGAGACACAATTGTTTGAGCTTCATACAACTCGCGTGTTCTTTTTGACCTAAAACGTCTTAGGATTTTGGTTTGGCTGAACACTGCTGAGCACATACAGTCCCTTGCATGTATTGCAAGATGGCCGGCTGGTGATGATCTCAAGGCTAAGGCATGTTCTCGCAAGCGCTCATTGATATCATCAGATATCAGTGATGATATCACAGATATCATCAGCAACTCACCTTTTTCATACATTTTATTTTAAATTTTCACGTATAACAACTTTGGGGGTGTACGTTTCTTTATTTTAAGCAACAACATCAGTAACTTCTTGCTTCTTTCTTCTCCTCCTTTTAAGACTATTAAATGTCAGTTGTCAGTTTAGCGCCCTTCCTGTCTACCTCGTCTTTCCTTTCCTTGTTGTTTTGCGCTATTTTACTAATGATGAACGACCAACTAGCCCGCCAGCTCACCTTATTGTTCTTGCCTACCATAGATCTGCTGTACGCGACGAGGAGCACCGTCGCCTGAGCACCCAATCTGCTGCCCTGTCGAGTAACAACACTGACCAATACCGAGGTCAACAGAGACAACTGCCAATTCTCCTGTGGTTTCTACCCGTAGGAGTAGAAAGCAGAGAGAGAACTTCCAGCACAAAACGAACGAAGCATCGCCTAATAGACATTTCAGAAGAAAAGCAGCTTACGTCTGCTACATCAAAAGGACCTCGAGGTCGTGGACAAACAGAGGGACGGCAGCAGCACTCCTGCAACGAACAGACAACCAGGAGTGTGCAGTCTGCAAGTCGCCCAACCATGACACCGAGGTGTGCTGTGAAACCATGGCTCTACCTCTCGCTGAAAAAGCTACAGATCCTTCAGAAAGCTGGACGATGCTTTAAATGTACAAAACGAAACCATCTCGTCAAGGAGTGCAGAAGCAAGATCGCATGTTCTGAGTGCCAAGGTCGACACGCCACCGTTATGCGCGATCCTGAATTCCTCTCGAGATTAAGTGAGAAACTGAAGAGACCACGGAAGATTGAAGTCTCCACTAGTCCCTTGACACTTCAAGCCGCTGTCACTGATGAAGCAAAAAACGACGGTGCTGCTGCAAACAGCTACAGTTTGAAGCTCAGAAGTCAAGTCAGCAAAGACACAAGGAAAGACGGCACTCACAGAAGTTCACGACGACGTGGGTCGGATCAAGAAAGCTCTCTCGATTTCAAAGAAGAAGACGGAAGTGAAGTTCAAAATGGTTGTTTGAGGAAAACAGTAATCTCGAAAAGAGGTGTCTGTTTCGTAGTCGCTGCTGGAAGAGAAGTGTCAGCTGCTGGAGAGCGTTCAACATGCTCTTGCTTCAAAGTGCACTCAAATGAAAGAAACCACGCGAGAACTTGGATCAAGAAAAGCAGCCGCTAAGGCTCACATTGCTGGGCTGTTACAGCAGCTACAGGAGAAAGAAGAGGATCTCTTGACGTTGCGGGAGCAGTTGAGCACGGCTGTTCAAAAAGCGTATTCAGAGATTCATTCACTTCAACAGAGCTTCGGGGCAAGTGCACAGACATCTTCGAGGTTGCAGACAGAGTTGATGGACCTTAGAAGCAGCTTGGAAACAATGAAGGCCAAGAAAGACTCTATTGACAGGACACTCAAGGAAGCCGAGGATGGACTACAAAAGGCTCAAGATGAGAGCAAACCGCTAGAAATCTCGCTGAGTACCGTGACCGCAGGCCTCAAGAGTTCTCAGGCTGCAATGGCCAAACTGAAAGATGCATGCACTTTCATGAAAGTGGAGCTCGGTGTTGCAGAAGCCGAAAAGGCCGAACTGTTGGAGCGGCTGATCAACTCGCTTCAGTCCACAGAGGATGTCAAGCAAGAGAAGGAGGCGGTGGACGCAAGGAGCGACACACTGTCTAAGACCGTCAAGCAAATTGAGTGCAAGTTGTGCGAAACACAGGACATGGACCGGCAGAAAAATAAAGAAATGATTGTCGAGCTCAGCAGACTACCAGCCGAAAATGTAAACACTCGCAAAGATCTAGAGAGGACGAACCACGAGAAACGAGAACTGTCACTCAAACTGGCTGAAATGAATGACATGCTTCGCAACGAAGAGCTCAAGGATCACTTCAGCAACAACAGAATTTACTGGAAGTTTATTGCGGAGCGTGTCCATTGTTGGGGCGGGTTCTATGAGCGTCTCGTGCGGTCAGTCAAGACATCAGTGAAAAAGGCCATCGGCCGAAAACTCTTAACCGAGGAAGAACTTGGAGCCCTGCTTAGCGAGATAGAGGTTGTAATTAGTTCTAGACAACTGACTTTCATTTACAACGAAAGCCAAGAGCCTCAGCCTCTGTCCTCATCATGCTTTCTTGTTGACAAGCGACTGAAGCCGTTACCTAACCCGACAGTTCCGGACCTAAAGGACGTTGAAGCCGAGACTCTACGGAAGCTCTGGATGCACAGACAAGAAGTCATGAAGAGCCTTTGGTAACCTGACGGAACTTGAGTCACTGCATGCTACGAAGCAGTCGCGTCGCGAAATGAAGGTTGGAGACTTGGTACGTGAAAGTATGCAGCCTGGCCAGTTGTGGAAGACAGGAATCGTCCAACAGGTGTTCCCGGGACGAAACAAGTTACGCCCTTCCGAATTAAGGCTTCCCGAGGGAACTACAGTAAAGCTCCCTGTACAGCTGCTGTACTGCCTGAAACCTTCGGAGTGTGAAAAAACGGACTAATACCCAAATCACACGGCAGCGTAAAGATACCTTTAGCAGATGTACCTATAGTAAAGGGAGCTGGAGATCGCGAACACACGGCCCATAAAGGTCCCTTTTGTTAAGGGAGGTCCTGAGTTAAACGGAGCTCCCCGAGCTCCCTTAACAGCTACAGGGAGTAGTTTCGGACCCAGGAACTCAAAATAATATCACAGATATATAAATGTATCTTGTTTATTGCATTATAACAAATTGAATATATCTAAGTATCAAATTATGAAATGATTGTGAACAAAAATGTGATGGAATAGTAATGATGAACGCATACTCTAGCTAGCAGGTAGCAGCGGCGGCACGTGGGAAACAATGTCTGCTACGAACCCGAACGCGATGGACCACTGCGAGCTCTTTTTCGAAATTGTAGACGAGTCGCCCTACTCTCCCGTCCAGCACCCTTTATCTCCCGCCCAGCACCCTTTATCTTATCAGACAGAAATAATATTCATGTTTTAAATGTGATATTTTACACACAATAATAATAATAGAAAAAAAAACTGCGCGTCAAACCAATTTCGAGGAATAATTGTTCATCACGCGCTCATCTCGCGGTTCAGCAGGAATGCAATCGACATAAACTTAACGTGCTCCGTTTATTTATCGTGTGATCAAGAACGCCGTTTACTACAGGTACCTTCAGCTAAGGGGCCTAAGCTAAAGGTACCTTTGCGCTGCCATATGAATTGGATATAGACGCTTTCAGCGCGCGCCAGATTGAGCCGCAATAGCCGACCTTCTCTTGTTTTACCGAGATGCCGAGCCACTGAAGCGGGCGCTGACGAGTCTCTCCCCACAAGGGCTTATGCTGGGGAGAAGGACACAGTAGCACCTAAAGTGGCAATAACCTGTCTTGCTGTGGCAATGATGAAGTGAAGCGAATGGAATAAGAGGGAACAAAAACTGAAGGTCGGTTATGGCGGCGCCCATGCACAGCTGCCTGAAAGCGTCTATAAGTGCGTTCTTCGGGGGGTGGATGTTGGAACTATTCACAGCGCGCCAGGACACCGGAAAAATTGAGCAAGCACGAGACCGAGGCATTGGAGCTGCGACGACCACGGCCGCTTGATCGCGAGCTGTGCACTACGGGGAGAAGAGAAGAAAGATGAGATGGGCTCCCGAACCACGTAGACAATTTTGTTCCCGATGTCGGACAATTAAACTAGTTTGTGTTTATTAGATCAAAGCATCGACCTGAGACCAAAAACGATCCGTCATATTGTAGTAAAGTGCACCGAACAATTAAGACCCAGCTAGACACATGTTTGGCGCAAATAAAACTTCTAGTCTTTCTCTTTCTCTATTTCTCTCTCTCTCTCTCTGTCTTTCTCTTTCTTTCTTTCTTTTTTTTCTTTCTCTCTCTCTGTTTCTCTATTTCTCTTCCTAGCGGTATGACGGGCCCATTATAATGGGTGGTAGGAAACAGTTAAGAAAAAAACACTTTTCTTTTGGCAGAAAAAAAAAAAACGTGTTTACAACATAAACCTCCTATAATTGCTTTATGCGCGCTGTCCTCTTTGTTTGCGTGGAAGGCGCTCTGAGCATGAGCAGTAGCTTTCTTCCACGAAATATGAGACGCCGCGCATGCCTTTACAGCTCAGTGACTCAGCATTCCTCGCCTGGATGATACAAAATGCAAAAGTCTTCATGCCCGTCGTTCTCGGGACCGTCTGTATGACGGGGTTACGTTTTCGGCGCAGATACAGAAGGCTCGAACTCGGGGCGGTGCCTTCTCCAAGGAGTTTCTAGGGCGTTGCTCATAGCCTCTGTTGCTTTGCCACAAAAAGGTCGCCAATATCTTATCTCCTTCTCAGCTAGTGATAATTGGTAACACTCTATCTGTGCATGCGCAGTTCGTCGGAGTTAAGGGTGCATTTGGAACGACTTCGCCTCGCAAACTTCGTCACTCATGGCCCGTGTCCTATTTGAGCGACAAAAGGCCAACACTGCTCGACGACGCGTGAAATGCACCTCCAGGTTTGGAGTACGATTGATAATCCCCAACTAGCCGCAAAATGTCATGGTTGTGAACAAGCTTCGCCACTGCGGAATACTGATCGACTCAATCAAAAGCTGACCAATTCTCTTTGTCCGCCAAGATGGCCGGCACACATCGGTGTTTATTTCCATACTGGGACGATCGCACAATCACTGTTGAAAAACTAACAATGAACACCACTGACACGAGACATTTAGCCTGGAGCTAAAAGAAGACGAGGGGGATGGGGAATCGCGAGCGCGAGCGAACGAGCAGTCGGATAAACCGTTTAACACAAGCCGGTTGTGCTGTTATTCTTTCTCGACCTCAATGTCCTCAACGAGTACCTAGCGAAAGAGCGCCTCAAAGCGCAACAATTATTTGGTGCCGAAACCCGGGACTTGGACTTGAGGAATCAACCTGAAAATGGATCGGCTCAAGACCAAGCGTAAAGTCCGACGCAGTCAGAATACGATGATAATCAACGAGATAACGACCATGCTCCAGTCCGTCGCCGTTGATGCCTCTTCTCTCGAGAACCTGAGAGACAGACTGGTAACCAGCAACGAGGAACTCCGTAAAGTCAACGAGGAGATCGAACCACACATCAGCGATAGTGACCTGGAGACAGACTACATCACTGTCGCAGAATATGAAGACGAAGTGGCTAGGACCCTCAGCGAACTGCGCAACAAGATCGCGCGGTTGCAGGCAACGCCAACCACATCCGCTACGGGAGCCGACGGCGACAGGGGCCACCCATCCCAAGCTACGGGAGTGAAGCTCCCCAAACTGCAACTTCTACACTATCAAGGGGAGCTCACGCAGTGGCAACCCTTCTGGGAGCAGTTCGACGCCTCAATACATCGGAACACCAAGCTCTCTGATGGAGAAAAATTCCAGTACCTGCGGTCGCTTCTGAATGGGCCTGCCGCCAGTGCCGTTTCCGGGCTGCAGGCTACGGCAGCGTGCTACAGAGATGCAATAGAGATACTTACTGAACGCTTTGGCGACAAGCAAAACATTCAGCGGGAATATCTGGAACGGCTTCGAAACCTTCCAATGGTAAAGTCAGTGCGTGATGTCCAAGGACTGCGCAATGTGTACGATCACGTCCAGACAAACATTCGCGGTTTGCGCTCCTTGGATGTTTCAAGCGCGACGTACGCCACAATGATGGTGGACATACTCCTGTCCAGTCTTCCAACGGACATCGTTGTGGATTACCATCGACACAAAAGCTACGGAATACCGCTTGTAGTTTCCGCAGGCAGAGAGGAGGGGGCTAGCACGTCTGGCGATGGAGCAGTCAACGTCGCTGCATCGACAACGGATGCCGGTGAGGAGCTGGCGAAACTTTTGCGGTTTCTTCGCGTGGAAATCGAGAGCAGAGAACGATCAGCACCGCTCGAGAAAAGACCAGCGAGTGTGCCGAGGATAGCTCCTAAACCGATACAAACTGTTTATCCACCATCAACGTTCGCGTTACAAACCAGCGGGACAGACAACTACTGCTTTTTTTGCAACCAGCATAGTCACAGTACCGGCGCTTGTACTGCTGACATCGCACTTGATGAAAAGAAAGGAAGATTAGCGCAAGACATGAGATGTTTTCGCTGCACCAAACGAGGGCATCGGTCCAAAGACTGCCGCAGCCAAGCGAGATGTTCTGGATGCAGGGGACGACATGTCTCGTCAATGTGCAATCCTGCTTGGCAGACGACAAGACCAGTTCCGGAAGAGACCGCCAATATACTCACCACCAGTAATACGACGCCTCACCGAGCATCGAGCGTTCTACTGCAAACTTTCAGGAGCTGGGCCGTGAGTGATGAGAGCTGCGCATATATCCGCGGTATTATCGATGGTGGAAGCCAGAAGACGTTCATCAGAGAAGACTTGGCAAGGAAACTTAACTTGAAAATTATAGGCCAACGAAGCATGAAGCTTAACACCTTTGCCAACAGCGGCTCGGACGTGATAAAACAGAACTTCACACTGGTCAGACTACGACTTCGAGGCCAGTATGCGATGACGGAGTATGTTTTAGAAGCCGGTGTCGTCCCATTTATCTGCCAAGATCTCATCGAAACACCCGTCGAACATTCGTTCCTTAAAGCGATCACGGGGTCCATCGCTGACGAGTTGATGTTTCCCTCCGTCCAAGCAGAGGAAGGCATAAGCCTGCTCATTGGCACTGACCAAATGTGGAGATTGTTGACTGGCAAAACACGCCGCTCATCATCCATCCCCGGACTGGTGGCCATTTCAACTAGCCTAGGATGGACCTTTCAGGGTCCAACAGGCACCGTGAGAGTCTTGTCGAATACTACCGCGAACTTGATGGTATGCGTGTTAGGAGTGGCATTGACCGCCGAGGACGACGGGGCAGCGTTAAGAAACTTCTGGGAGCTGGAGGCCATTCGAATCAGGGATGAACCGACCAGTACGAAAGAGCAAGATAGTACGGTACTCGAACAATTCACAGAGAAAATAAGTTGGAAGAATGGCCGCTACGAAGTCGCTCTACCCTGGAAGGAGACAGCAACAACACTTGGAAACAATTACATCACTGCCAGGTCTAGACTCCGCAGCCTGATCCAACGCCTCAAGCACGATGACTCCATCGCACTCTATGACAAAGCGATACGCAATTACTTTGAGGACGGACACGCGGAAGAGGTGAACGAAAAGTCCCCATGTGATGGACGCGTTTATTATATGCCTCATCGAGCGGTGATTCGA